TTTATATTTTATAATCTTACATAAATATGCAATGTATCCCTCATTTATCATATAGCAATACAACTTAAAAAAACAGAGTTTTAGAAAATAAGTTCAAATTTTAAATCATAAAAATTTTCTAATTTTAATTTTGAAATTTTTATGTCATGATTAATTGTAGAGAAATAAAATTGTACTTATAAAATGTTTTTCTATTTTTTCTTAATATTCCTTTTTTTTTGCAAGCAACTAAAATAAAGACAATCTTTGAATTCTATTATTATTGAATTCTATTATTATATCAAATGAATGATATATATTTCCTATAAAACACATATTAAAAGTAATACTATTAAGTTAAGATATTAAGATAAAACAAAGTTACATTATACAGATATCTATGAAACTGTAATTATATAATTAAAATAATCATAATCTACTATTGTGTAAACAATATTACATAGCAGTAAAAAAAAAAAAATAAAATGATCTTAGCTAATTTCATAAATAAGAACTGTTACTACAATTTTCATAAAGCGTTTTCTATCTGCTATTAATTTATCCAATTTCTGGAATATATTTATTTTTTTACTCAAATATAATATTTTAATCTATCAATCTCACGTAAATCACGAAAAAGTCTTAAAAGCTTCATTATGTGCTTCGCAATGTGTCTGATGAGACCAATCCTTTCCCCGAAAGTAGCAAGAGCCACATACATACGACTCGTAACGTATTTCACACTCGAAACAGTGCTTTGCACATCGCGCTTCTTATCGAAGGAATCGTAGAAAGCAAGCCATATAACTTGAGCATGTCTTTTACCTTCGAAAAATGCAAACTCAGATCACTTCTCATGAGCGGGAAGATGAGAACAGGCGGACAAGTTAATGAGAGTGTGCTAAAAACGGAAGAAATTATAAATTTCGGGGACAACGGCAGTGACGTTATACGCGAGCCACATCTTCTAGTGGCCCGGAGGGACCAGGAGCGACAGATGCTAGCTGCGTACGCGTCCGTGAGTCTGGCCGCGACGAGAATCCCGTGGCCGGCCCGGTCCGGATATCCGTGCGCGTGTATCGAAAACGCTATTGCACTTATAATTCACATACCCTATTCAGCAAGATCTCAATATTTTTCGTTCAGCACCATCTCTTACGAATCGTCTCAGTATACAATCAACCGCAAGCATCCCACTATGTATCGTGACACACAGATGGAGCTATTCGCATTCGATCGGCTAAAGTCACTAGATACTAAATACGTTGCAAACATCGATTGCCAGTTGAAATGTCTGTCGTGACAATTAATCATGCCTGTTTTGCAATAGGGTTGCAAGTCGTAAGCCGTAAGAAATTAGCCAATCGCAGTTAAGTGTGAGAAGAATAATCGATTGATTGGTTAATTTCTTATGACTTACCGCTTACGACTTTATTGTAGAACAGGCCTCAGTAGAATCCTGTATATGAGAAAAGCGACATCGGCATCGCGATTTCTGATTGGTGGTATCTGTACCTAATTAAAGCAGCCATATTGTATCCGCAGTGGAGAGCTATCATGTTTTCTTGCAACTATCTACTGAATTGATACACATACTTAAAATAAATATACAATATATCGTTTATTTTTTTGTGTTTTTACATTTGTAATTACATTACTTAATCGCTACATTATTCAACAAGAAAAAACATATAAACATTAATACTTGCTTAACCTCATCCTGACGTAGTTCATAATTCCTATATTGGAGTAAATGGAGTATGATGAACATGATCAACGGGCTAAACATGCGGTGCTGAACATATGCTAGAGATGATAGTGGGGATAAATGTCGCTTCTCTCATATATAGAACTGTAGGCGTTAAAAGCATTAATAGTATTATTTATGTTTCTAATTTATTGGTTGTCGCGATAAACGTTTCAACCGGTAATGGTTATTTGTAACGCATTGTAGAATGCTCTTTAGTGAATTTGCTCACTTTTGTAATTTTCATCTCATTTTAAAATATTCAATCGACTCCCAGAACAAAGAATTATTTGTTAGTGCAACAATTTCCGCGCGGTCAGTATTGCAGCATTCTGTGTGCAAAAGCCATTCAACTTTTGTATCGCGCGGTATAAGGCCAGGTTCACACCTTGACGGAAAAGCGGAAAAAGGAAAAGTGGAAGCCGCCAATCGGAACTCACAGTAGTAGTAGGCGATACATTTCTCTTGTCTGCTTCTTTCCACGAGTTCTGATTGGCTTCTGTTTTTTTGCAAGGTGTGAACCCGGCCTAAGTTATATATTATTTCCGAGCAAGACATTGATTGTCTATCGCGCGGCAAGCGTTGTCGTATTTATGTGCGGGAGCCATTATATAGTGTTGCTTGTTGAGAAACTCCCATGAAAAATACATGCGATAGAAATAGAAAATAATGGCTAATTTTTTCATTTCTCGATAACCTCATCCATGGTTTCCATCGAGGGTTTAATCCAAATCAGAATGTAAGAACCAATCAATTACAGTCGAGCATTCCCCTGTTATAGTCGAACGACAAGAGAATGCTTAAACTCTCGGTGGAAACTAGGTGCATGAGATAATAAACGAGATATCTGGGTTATCTCTTATCTAGAGGTAAAGAAAAAATTGACCAAGATTTCAACCTATTAGAAACCGGTTACATCGGAATATATAGTTTTTGATAGGTTGAAATTTTAATACTTATTCCTATACCTAATATTTCCCTCATTGTACGCAGAGTCTTAGGCCGAGTTCACACCTTGATGGAAAAACGAAAAAGCGGAAGCCAATCAGAACTCGGGGAAAAACACGGGGAAGTCAAGCGAAATGTATCGCTTACTACTACTGCGAGTTTCGATTAGTTTCCGCTTTTCCGTCAAAGTGTGAACCCGACCTTACATTTGTTACAAGACTGTTATTCGGTATTCGATACTCGGTAATTTGCGATAGTCAATTAATCAGTAGTGTCGATTGTCGATCTGCTCGGTATTGGCAGGTGTTGGTAGATAATCTGCTATAATCAGCATAATAAGGCAGATTACAGACGAACAAATGTTTTTGAAGCCCTTGGCACATCTTGAGTGATGCTCTAGTTCATTGAGAAAAAAACGAACAAGATGAATGCAACAGTAGACGGTAAAAAAATACAGGATCTTCCGCCGAAAGGAGGCTATGGTCCCATACAAACGGAAAGAATAAAATTACGCAGCGTTCTCGGCGGTAAAGATATTTTTGTAATCAACTTTATTATTGATTGAAAATTTTATTGGCTAGTTAATACAAAGATTGCCTTATTGGCAGGTTATGTAATAATGTTGTAATGAAATTTTATAGCTAAAGGCACACTTGCCTTTTTCCTAGCCACTACGTTCGGCGGAATGTATGCCTACTATCTAAGTTTCAAACAAGTTAGACATCAACAGATTGAGATGAGAAGTGCACGCTGGGCTATATTTCCAGCATTGTTGGCGGAACGAGATAGAGCGTAAGGATGTATATTTTTCATTTAAAATATAGTATTCATAAGCTAGTGCAATTGGAAGCTTAATAGTGAATTCGGTCATTTACACTATGCTAGATTAGTTATATTAAAAGATGTTTAAATTAGCAATATGAAATGTAAAGATATGTCAATCTATTAAACGATTAATTACTTAATAATAATATTGTTATTTAATTGAACATATATGTTGAACATATATGTTATTTTATTGTCAAAGTTAAGTAAATGTTACTGCATTTAGATATTTTATATAAGATAACCTTTAATATGTATTAAATTATCCAGTATACTTGTGAATGATCATTTATCATAGTTATGAATTTGATTACTTGTACTGGATTAGTATGTATTAAAAAAGCTGCTTTATTTAAAATACTTAAATGTACACCATAATATCATAATATAATCAGTTATAATCATTTTCCTTTTTTTCCATGCAGTGTCTTGAAACAAATGAGACGTAATCGTGACATCGAAACAGAATTAATGAAAAATGTTGAAGGATGGGAAGTGGGAACATACTATGGAGAACCGATATTCTATTTGGACGATCCAAATCAGTATAGAGATCCAATTTTCTTTGAACATTTTGCACATTCTGATCCAGATGCATATTGCGAACGAGTTGAGCGTCATTTGTGGACATAAAATATTGTTAGTTTGGCATTCAGATTTTGATTAGTTGTGGATCTGTAATGCGACAAAATTGGAAAGTAGTGTGTTAATAATGAGTAAAATTATTGCGAGTCATAATTATGAATAATATTTTGAAATTATAGATTACAATAAAGTCGTAATATTTCTGTTTGACAGTATTCTTTCATTTCCCTCATTTTCACATTTTGTTACGATACTCTTCACTCATTAAGAACAAAATAATATGTTTAATGACAATAATCTGACGACAATCTATTTAAATCTCTTTTTTTTTAATGTATAAACACCAAATAGAACATTTTACTATAACAAATGTCTACTTCACATTTTAAAAGCAAGTTTTTTATTTATAAGAATATGTTTGTCTTTATCAAAGAAGTATAAGTTCATACTTCATCGTCGACTTTATAGTAGAATATATTTTTTATTTTTGTCAAGCATTGTTTTACCATTAATAAATATATTTTATTATATAGATAAATGTATATTGTAATTATTTTA